CTGGCTCCCCTTTAGCATGCTTTGTGGCAGAGGAGGAATTCAGCAGAAGCCACAGATAGGCAGGTATACCTTTGGCTGCCCGGTAGTCCCAAACATCTGCTTCGGTGGATTATTACATGTGTTTGATGGAATTTTGTGTGTTTGCTTTATTTTTCAAGTTGTAGATTTGTGTACTGGCTTGCTTATTTATGGGTAGTATATAGAGTCAACCACTGTAGACAGCTTAACCGTGCTACTCAAGTTCTCGCTGTTCTTTACTTACCTTACAAATCCCTAGCTCTGGGCAAACCTCACCTTCTCGTCATGTCTGCTGTATTGCTAAAGAAAGTCACAGAATCCTGCTTATTGGCTCCCTTCACATTTTTGGTGTCTAAACCACAGCTGGACTTTCAAGAGTTGCCAGGGCAGCATTGTTACATGGTTCCAGGAGATGTCCCTAAAGAAATGTACCCATTGGCCGGATAAATTTATGAAATTTGGCATACGGTATTGGCTCTTCTGGGAGACCCTTGGGACAGTGTCCTGAATTGGGGCTGGGGACCTTAACCTCATTAATTGTTCTTCCCCTTTGAGGGAATGAGTAGGATTATTTATTAGGTTGTGACCGTTATTTTCTAGCAAACTGTCCCAAGGCCCAAGTGTCTTCAGTTGGAAGACCATTTTGAGAATGGTCTTTTGAGAATCCAAAGTCCTTTTTTGAGAATTACATTTCTTTTTTTAGCAAATGTATACCTTTATCACAGCAACCTTACCACCATGCAGATTCCATGCAGTTTTCCATGGAGACAGTCATATCACCAGAGAATATGCTTCTTTCTTTCCAGTATTTTTATTTTATTTTATTTTATTTTATTTTATTTTTATTTTTATTTTTATTTTTATTTTTATTTTTATTTTTATTTTATTTATTTTTGTCTCTTGCCCTACTGGGCTGGCGAGAACATCCAGGGCTTTATTAAATAGAAGTGGCAGCAGTGGACGTCCTTGTCTTATTTCCAGTCATAAGGAAAAGGGATTTAATGTTTCATCATTACATATGTTGCTAACTCTAGGTTTTTCATGGATGTCCTTTTTCAGAATAAAGAACTTCTTCCTCTTTTCTATTTCCAGTTTGCTGAAACTTTTTAATTGCGGATGGATATTAAATTAACATACCAAATGCTTTCTTTTTTTCTGCATCAGTTAAGAGAATCGTAAAGTTTTTCTTTTTTATTACGATAAATGAGGTGCTTTATTTATTTGTTTATTATTTTACCGTTGAGCCAGTTTTGCTCCGTGCGGTAAACCCTGCATTGTAATGATGCGGTAAACCCTGCATTGTAATGATGTGTTACCTTTTCTGTATGTATAACTGAATGTGACTTGCTGATACTTGTTACAGATTTCCCCATCTAGGAACAGCAGACCTTTGCTTTGTGTTATTTCAGGATCTTGAGTCCCAGGCCAGTTTCTTGCTCCTGTGCCAGTGTCCGATAGCTTTTTCTTCTCCTTATTTCTCAGCATCAGTGTATCCTTGTCTGGGACTGGTGGTGACAGTGTTCCCTGCCTTCTTGTAGCACTAGACTGTGGTTATTGTTACAGGGGGAAAGGCTGGTGTGTGTGTAGCAGGTGGGCAAGTAGGTTCTGCCCCGTCCCCCAATAGTACCATGGGTTTTGCTCTGCTCTTCCCCTTGAGGCATGCTCTTTCCCTGGGCCCTAGGTGTGGGAGGTTTTCCTGATTCTCTCCTCCTAGTTGAAGGCTTTTGTTTCATTTGAGATGCTGCCAAGGTGGAAGAGCTCTCTCCCATCTTTCACCCCATGCGAGTCTTTTTCAAGAGATCTCAGTTGAAGCCCTTGGAGAAGAGCTTATGAATGAGTGCAGGTTCCCCTTCTGTCTGGATCTTCAGTGAAGCTTTAGCTGTCATCCTAGCTGACACTCAGCCTTTATCTTTACTTCTGTCTTTAACATTCAGCCCATTGACTGTGACTGTTTCCTTTGCGCTTGTGGGTTGATATCTGCCATCATTTCCAGTAAGTTCTTGACCATTATCTCTTCGTGTATTTTTTTTCTGTCCCATTTTCTCTTTCATCTCCTTCTGGGACTCCAGTTAAACTCCAGTTAATAGATATTTGGTCTCAGATATTCAGGGTTTTGCTTTTTTTTTTTTTTTTTTCCCCCTCTTTGGTTTTCAATTTGGGTACTGTTTGGCCTGTTTTCAAGTTCACTGTTCATTACTGTCTTTTATTAAATTCATCTAAAGGAATATTTAATTTCTGTTACTATAGTTTTCATTTCTAACATTTCCCTGTGATTGTTTCTTTTCTAGCTTTAGTTCTGTAATGAAGTTCCCCGTTTCTTTAGTGTTTTTGTCATAGCCATTTTAGTCTGTTTGATAATTCTAACATCTGGGCCCTGTCTAATCTGATTATATTAATAAATTCATCTTTTGCCTGTGGTTTGCTATTCCCTGGATCTTCTAATTTTTTTTTTTTAAGTTTATTTTTGAGAGAGAGAGCTAGTGTGTGGGAGCAGAGGAGGGGCAGTGGGAGAGGAGGAGAGAGAATCCCAAGCAGACTCTGCACTGTCAGCGTGGAGCCTGAAGTGGGGCTCCCTACCACAGCTGCAAGATCATGACCTGAGCTGAAGTCAAGAGCCGGACACTTAGCCACCGAGGCTAAGAGCCGACTGGGCCATCCAGGCACCCCTGTATCTTGTAATTTTTTACCAAAAGCTGAATATTTATGCAAAAACAGTACGGATTGAAGTAAATACTCTTTACTTCCAGAAAACTGCCTATTATTTCTCATGTTAGTTTAATAGACAGTGAGGTTAAATCCATAAGCTGTGTTGTCGGGCTAGTTCAGGGTTTTTTGCAACTTTAGTTTGTTCCAGTGTTTTGAGAGCAGATTGAGACTTGACCTTCTGCAAGATTTGTTGTCTGAGTGTGATTTCAGTTATCTCTTTGTGCTTTATATATGAGCCTTCAGCTTTCTTGAACCTTGGGTGATTTCTCTGCTTCACAGCCCAATTGTCTGTCCCTTAGTCATTCTGCAGTTCTTTTTGCTCTCGTCCTGCCCCAGGCTTTTGTGCGTGGGGAGGTATCTCCGTGCTAGTAACACCATTTCTTTTAGCAGTCCTTCCCTTGGTAGTTCAGTGTCCGGAGTATCTGGGTGGAAGTTTTGGTCTTAGCTCTCCTGTCTCACCTCGGCCCTTTGCAGCTGAACGTCTGAAATCTCTGGGGTTGATTTCTCTCCTTTCTGTCCATTCTTTCCCCCTCCTTGTCAGAGGACAGATTACTTGCATTTGAGGGTATCTCTCAGCTTTCCAGGCCCGTCTCCCAGCCTTCAGCATAATTTGGCAAGCCTGCAGTGGGGCCCAGTGGGAGTGAGTGGCTGGGTGGTACAGGTTTGCTCTGTGAAATCCTTGGAATTTTTGTAGATCTTGTCAGCACACATGTTGCTGTTAAAATTTATGAAAGGGTAAGTTGGTTTCTCCTTACCCTCCTCTGTGGTGGGATGATTCCTCCTTAGCCACTCCACCAGGAAGGAAACCATTGGGGGGCGGGGGGGGAGGGCTCTCTTTCACGGCTCAACACTTTCTGGAATTTAGTTCCACTTAGGTGAAACTTTTTTTTTTTTTTTT